AAAATTTAACCTGAACTGACAATTCAGAAAATAACCCAAGGACATACTTACACTTTATAAAATTCAAAGATATTGTGAGAACTAGTGGTCAGAGTAAAAAAAATTATTTGAATTCTGTTAACTATATTAGCTATACACACATATTATAGAGCAAGCAGGAAGGAATATTGTTCCTCTAATTTATTTGAATTGTGAATATAAGTCTAATTTTTTATTATAAAGACTGTTAATGTTCAATATTTGTATGTATTCATTTGAGAGGGCCATCGTAACAAAATACACAGACTCAGAAGTATAAAGGGTAGAAGGTCAAGATCAAGGTGTGAACAGATTTGATTTCTCCAGCGGCCTTTCAACTCTATGGTTGCTTCCTTCTGTGGCATTTGTACAAATACACTCTCCTTGTTTTGTCATCTCACCACAGCAGCAGCCATATTAGCATGACCTTTTATGACTTGGTTTTACTTTAATTCCATAAGGACTGCTTATGTAATATTGAAAGCTGGTGTTTTAACACACTAATTTTGTAAAGACACAGTTCAGTCACTAACATAGCAGAAATTCATTTACCAGGTATTAAACCACATAATATGGGACCCAGACTATTCTTATACCAGAGACTATTATAAAAAGAGAAACAAACTATATAAAGCATAGGTGGTCAACCTGGAAATCATATACAGACAAGTAACATTATACTGACTGAGCATGCTTTCTTTATATATTTAAGAATATATTGTATTATATTATATTTAAGAATACACACACACACACACACACACACACACACACACACAAAATTAAAGAACTAGAATCCATGAATTTCAGAGGGAGCAAGAGGGTTCATAGAAGATGGGAAGGGGAAATTTGTATAATTATATTTAAACTTCAAAAAAATTAAAATATATTTTAAAACTAAAACCAAAAACATTTATATGATGCTGCAATAAAAACACATTAAATTATTTTTTTCTAAAAGGTGAAGGGCTTAAAGGACTTGACAATATGGAACTGAGGGAAATTATTTAGTAGAACACTGATAAAAGATATTTCTTGGGGCTTTTTGTTTTGTTTTGCTTGGCTTTTTGAGACAAGGTTTCTATATGTAACCGTGGCTGTCCTCGAACTAGCTCTGTAGACCATGCTGGTTTCGAACTTACAGAGATTTGCCTGCCTTTGCCTCCCTAGTGATGAAATTAAAGACATGGGCCATCACCACCCTGCGATAAAAGATATTTCTAAAGAGGAATTTTTATTTTAAATAGAATCTTTAAAAATTCTTGAATAGTGTTCTTCCCATTTTTTGTTTGTCTGTTCCCCATGGGAATAGGAAGAAGCAAAGTGCTAGAGAGGTCCCCAGAAATCCATAAAGATACCTCCACAATAGACTGCTGGCAATGGTTGAAAGAAAGCTCAAACTGACCTATTCTGGTGATGGGATGACCAAACACCCTAACTGTCATGCTAGAAGTCTCAACCAATGACTGATAGAAGCAGATACAGACATCCACAGCCAGGCCCCAGGTAGAGATCCAGGAGTCCAATCGTTGAGAAAGAGGAGGGATTGTATGAGCGAGAATTGTTGAGACCAAGATTGGAAAAAGCACAGGGACAAATACCCAAACTAGTAGAAACACATGAACTATGAACCAATATCTGAGGAGCCCCCAACTGTATCAAGCCCTCTGGATAAGTGAGACAGTTGATCAGCTTGAACCCTTTGGGAGGCACCCAGGCAGTGGGACTGGAACCTGCCCTTAGTGCATGAGCTGGCTGTTTGGAATCTGGGGCTTATGCAGGGACACTTTGCTCAGCCTGGGAGGAGGGGACTGGACCTGCCTGGACTGAATCTACCAGGATGAGCTGAATCCCCAGGGGAATCCTTGCCCTGGAGGGAGGACAGGGGAATCCGTGGCTGATATGTAATCTTAAATCAAATTTTATATAAAAAAATCTTGAATAGAAAAACAGTTGGATATTGAAAAGAAGAAAATTCTAGACATAAATATTGTAAATTCAAATCTTTGGATCAGAAATAGTCATGTTAATATGTTAGAATTTCAAAAAACCCATTTAGAGAATGATTCAAAAATATAGTCAGATAAATAAATTATGATTCTTCCATGTAGTGTCTGATAGGCTTTGACAAGGATTATAGCTTCTTCTCAGAGTGATAAGAAGCTACTGGGAGGTTTGATCAGAGCACATTCTGAGCTTATTTCATTGCCTAGAGTCCATGGCTGAGCACTGAGAGGGTATAGAATATAGACAGGTTTTTATGGAGGCTGCTTGGTCGTACAATCAAAGGCTGCTGGCTTAGATGTGGATATCAATGTTGGAAGTGGTAAGATAAAATAGTTTTAGAATAAAATTTGAAGATAAAGGTGGCAGGATTTGTTACATATTGAGAGATGAAACTTTTAAGGTGGTGTTCTTTTTTTTTTTTTTTTTAATTTCAGAGCTGAGGCTAGGCAAGTGCTCTACCACTGAGCTAAATCCCCAACCCCTTAAGGTGGTGTTCTAAGAAATGTCATAATAGAAATGCTCCAGTTCCTGGCATAAGGTAGTTAGGTGGGGAGCTAATTTGGATGTTACAACAAAGGTTGTAAATGTGTTAAATTTAAGATCCCCATTAGATTCTTGGTGGAAGACATATAGGCTTTCGTCAACAGTTCTGCATAAAGAAGGACCAGAATATAAGTTTTAATGTTATCTATGTGTGATGTTGTATTTCCTGGAGAGAAGTAAAGAAATAGTTAATCACCCTAGATAGGGCACCAAAAGACAAAAGAAAGGATTTCATCCAAGTCTATTTTAGTGAACCAATGAGTTTGTTGAATCTACTTATAGGAGCATGTGTTGGGGATTATTTGCAGAAGCATAGTATGGGTGACTGTAGTAGAATAATTTAAGGTGTGTTACTTTTGTTTATATTGCATTTGTTTAACTCTGTGAAGCTGTGTTACTGTGCCTGTGTAAAACACTTGATGCTTTAATAAAGAGCTGAATGGCCAATAGCAAGGCAGGAGAAAAGATAGGCAGGGCTGGCAAGCATTGAGTATATATAGGAGAAACTGGGAGGATAGATCTAAGATTTAAGATCTAGGAGCAGCCAGAGAAGGAAGAGGACTCCAGGAGCCAGCTACCCAGATACACAGCAAGCCACGGAGTACAAGTAATATACAGAAGTAGGAGAACAGGAAAAGCCCAGAGGCAAAAGGTAGATGGAATAAGTTAAGTTAAGGAAAGCTGACTAGAAAATAAGCCAAGCTAAGGCCGGGCATTCATAAGTAAGAATAAGCCTCCATGTGTGACTTATTTGGGAGCTGGGTGGCGGGTCTCCCAAAAAGCAAAAACAAGCAACAACAGGTGACTCAAAAGTTGGTGAAAAATCCCACCTCAAAGAGTGTGGCAACTCCCAAAAGATGCATCACTGAAGATTCTCCATCCCTACTCAATGTTCCCCTTCCTATATTCTCTAATAACTGTCAAAGATCTTGTGCAAAAAGTGCGTGGGATCTCAGCATGGGGCCTGGTTCCCCCACTTCTACCTAGGGCATATTAACAGTCTCATTTTCATTACCATAGGCTTATTATCATTGTATCAGTTTTGACTTCAGTGTTGTCCTAATTAGGG